CTCAGTGATGTTCATACAAAAGGGAGTGAAATACTGATTAGCAGAGAGAAATTCATATTTTATAAATGACAGAACACAAGTCTGAAAATGAATAGATGTACCGAAATGTTTCTCCTTTTGTAATGGAGTGAGTTGAGCATTATCTTTTTAAAGATATATGACATAAATGAGATGCTTTTTCATTTTTTTAAGTTCTAGAAGGGATTTATTTGCCTTATATTCTTTTTTCTCGATGTATTGATTGGGGAGGGTGTGGCTGGTAGGTCTTTCTTCTTCACCACCCATGTTTTTAAAAATCTCATCAGTGTGTTTCTCTTTTCCTCAAACAATAACTAAGAGTACTGAGGTTGTCTCTCGTCCTCAGAGAGTCAGAAGGCAGAGGTTCCAGCCCCCGGCGGCCCCTCTCTCGGTGGAAACGCGGCCGGAGGTCTGGCGCCCCCAGCCAACGTGGTGCTGGGCCCGGACGGAGAGCCGCTTCCTGCGGAGGAGGTTGTACCGGAACCACCACCAGACAACACGCCCAAACCCAAGAAGGCCTGGATGGACTTTGACATCTTCTGTAAATGTTTCAGGTCAGTGCTGAGTGGGTGTGTGTGTGTGTGGGAGGGGGGGGGGGGGGACCCTGACATCTTCTGTAAATGTTTCAGGTCAGTCCTTAGTGGATCCGAGGGGGACCTTGGCTGATGGACCTTTCTCTGGGAGACTTGTTGAGGACATGTTTTTGTCTGTGCAGAGTGCTTCTTTTCGAAATATGACTGAGTGTGCTTTTGAAGCTGATGTGAAAAGTGTTTTTGCTTCTTACTCTGGATTGAACAGGGAAAAAAACAAAAACGCTATGGACGTAATGGGATACGGAAAAAAAACCCAAAAAAAAACCTCTATGGATGTGAGAGCCTATCCGAGCATGCGCTGCTTTTATCCTTCTACCCACAAAACGCATGCCTTGTCTGTGCAGTGGTTTAAATCTTTCAGTCTACCCAAAAGACCCCAGATCAGGAGCACAGGTCCCGTAGGCTCAGGAGGCCCAGGCTCAAAGCATCAAAGTCTGCATGAACACTAAAGCTATTTTAGGGGATTTCTGTTCCTCTGGTTATTGTTATTTTTTCTGCTGAGTCTATAAAACTATTTATTTGTTTTCGGGACTCCTTGACTATCTACATTCTTCAATAGTCCTTCGTGAAAGGATGTACGGAAACGGTTTCTGATCAAATTATGTCAGATGCAGTGTTGTTCTTGTTAGGCTACCGGACTCATAATCGTAAGGTTGCGGATACGGGGCTTCGAGCGGCGAGCCCGATGTTGTGTCCTTGGGAAAGACACTTTACACGAATTTTCTCCACTTCACCCAGGTGGGAATGGGTGCCCAGCTATAGACGGTGAAAGATCTTGTCAATTTGTTAGGGTTTGAGCACTTAACCAGCTGCTGGCACTGTAAGCTTCCCGGGAAGCTGAGAATGTTTCTGAATGTTCTATGGTCTGCTGGGGTAATAATATAGTGTAAAGCGCTTCGAGCTTGCTTTCAAGTGGGGACATGCGCTATACAAATGCTATTTATTATTTATTATTATTATTATTATTTTGTTTGTTTCCAGGACTCTGTACATCTTCCACAAGTCCAACACCTACTTGTGTAACCAGTACTACTCAGACCTCAAGGTAAGAGATTATTTTCTCATTTCACTTTTGCACTTGCACAGGTTCGGGGACTTCCCATCATCTTTGTTTTTGCGCTTTTCTTTCGAACATGATTTTTTGGTGAAGATTTTGTGTTGTCGGTCGTTGTGTGGCTTACCAAGCAGCAAATCAAAGGAGTTTTGGTGTCAAGATTTATAACATCACCTGTGCATTATTCACAGCTGTTTTGATATGTTCTAGCAGGTCAACAGTGTTTAGTGGAATAAGCCATTGGAACAAAAAACAGTTCTATGCAGGAAAAAAAATGATGCTATAGGCGCTAGTTGTGTATATTTATGATTATTTTTAACATTTTGTAGTAGAGTAGGGACAGATATAGCCGATTTGGTTTTATTCCTTATCTCTCAGAGCTAGTTGTTACGTTTTTTGGGGGGGGGTTTTGCTCAGGTTTTAGTTTTGATCGCCACAGGATGGGGTCATTATTTTTTCAAAGCCTAGGTTTTGTTGTTAGACTGGCTTTTCATATGTTGTTACAAAATAAGTTTTTGTAGCCTGTAACATTGAACGAGTGCCGTAACTCTAAGAAAAATCTCAACTACAAACCGTTGATTTTTGCTAGTCAAGATTTTTGCATAAAATGTTTAACTGTGTGAAGAAAGTCTAAAAAAGCAATTTACCAGCTTTCGTTTTTTATTTCGTGAATTTTGATTGGATAATGTCCCTCGTGTTCACTATCTGTGCGCTGCTATCAGTAATTTGAATAGTTTTGCGTCCTGTATTTCATGACAAATGGATGTTAAGAGATGAATTTCTTACTCCTTGCACACTTGCACACAGTTTATTCATCTCTACTCGAGCTAAAGCG